AAGGAAGAAAAGAAAGAAAGTGACTCAAGCTCTCGTACGTTTCCGATGTTAATACCTAGCTTGTCGTCTCAGAATTCTGGTGCTCGGTATCCGAAATGGGTTCGTTTTTTGATTCCCACTTAATGTAATGCATCCTTCTCGGAGACGGTTTCCCCCGTCTGCGTAGTGCCACACGCAGCCCACAGTGCGGATTTTCCCAATCTAAATTGCCCATTCCAAAACTACGATTAACTGTTCATCCATTGCAGGAATAATTGCAGCTTTGGGGGCAATTCAGATTAGGCAAAATGTTGTGTAAGACACCCCTGGCACCACTTCTCTGGTCCAATTTGGAGCCTCCGCAGCTGCCTTTAAACGAAAATCAAAAGGTCAGGAGATCTGGTTACGGAGCTCTTGCATCCCGTGCCAGTGGGCTGTGGGGAAGTGACCGACAGTGTAAAAAAGTTTTCGAAGACTGACATCATTTTCCTTATATTATTTCTTTGTTGATAACAGTGTCAGAAGTGGAAAGTGGAAAAGGGAGTGGTGACTGCCTCCCTGCGTTAAACTATCAACATTCCAACAGCGTTAAGCACACGTCAAGGATCGTTCGTGTTAAGAGTGCCGTTGGCAAAGCTGCGGATCTAGCAGGAGATGTTGACACAGGTAAAGAGATTGAGAACCCTTAAATGTTTTGGTTTGACAATTTGGTGAAGCGGTTAGGAGCGCGGATTCTAATCTGGGAGAACCGGGTTTGATTCCCCATGCCTCCTCCACATGCAGCTGCTGGAGTTACCTTGGGTCAGTCACAAGTTCTCTCAGAGCTGTTCTCTCAAAGGCAGTTCTCAAAATAGCTCTCTCAGCCCCCCACACCTCACAGGGTGTCTGTTGTGGGGAGGGGAAGGGAAAGGAAATTGTAAGCCACTCTGACACTCCTTTAGGTGGTGTAGGGCAGGGTATAAATCCAGTCTCTTCTTCTTCATTTATTTTGTAGTAAGAGAAGAATCCCATTAAATGCATTCGTTTGTACAGTAGCCAGGTTTATCTAAGAAATGGCGTAAAATAAGAGTCATCCCAATCTGTTAAATAGTTTAGTAAAAGCATATAGTGGCTACTTCTTGGCTACTTTGCTTTGTGATTAAAGTAGTCGAAGTTCTCAGGGTCTGTGTGTGCTTTTTCTTATGTCAGAAAGCCCTGCAGGGTTGCTGTTCTCATCTTGTTTAGAGGATACCAACAAAATGAGAGTTTCCAAAGCCGGACACTTACGAAGCAGGCACTTGAGTGCAGCCGAAGCAGACCGCAGACGGATGGTTTGGAGAAACAGGAATCGCAATCTGAGCGGAGACACCCTGTTGGAGCTCATGAAAAACCGAATCAACCAAGAAGCGAGTCCCGGAGAAGTTGTCCAAAAACTAGGCGCAGATGCGAAAATCCTTTCTAAAGTGTTTGAGAAGAGAATAAGGCCAAAGACTCTCAACATCAGACCCTCTTCCTTGGCTCCCAATAAGAAAGGGGACGTGGATAAAGAATCCAGCGATGAGGACGCGCCCTCCGAGAACAGTTTCACAGACAAGACTGAATCCCCGGTTATATTTGATTTAGAAGACTTGGACCATGAGCCCGTCTCGGCAAAAACTGTAAAGCCATCAAACAGGATGCCCAAGAGGATTCAGCGTGCCATCAGCTTCCCGGTCAAAGCAGCTGAGAAAACCGACGTCGAAACTGGGTTCGATCCACTCTCCTTGCTGGCTGCTGAGACAAAAAAGCAGCCGGAGGACGAGGAGGAAACCGATGATAAAAGTGCCTGGACCCCATCTGCCAGGCGAGATTTAGCTGAGGAAATAGAGGTGTATATGAACAATATGAGCAGTCCCTTAATGAGCCGCACTCCGAGCATAGACTTGCAAAAAGCGTACAATGACAAGAACACCCATAAAAGCAGTCCGACTCCAGCGCAATTCTGCCGGAGGTCTAGCCTGCCTCCGAACTCACCCAGGCCCGTGAGTCTTCCCAAATCCAAAAGCTACCAGGTAAAAAACGAAGGAAGAGCGAGAAACAGACTTTGGTCCTCTCCAACATTCTCTCCGAGCAATCTAGCGAGGGGACAGTCCGAGGATATGACCGGCACAGTGACGCTTGCTTCTCCGACCTCATTCAATTTGGATACGCTGCTGACGCCTACCTTTGATGTTCTAAAGAGCAGCATGTTTTCTGCGGGGAAAGGGGTTGCAGAGAAGGCCAGCAGGTGGTACTCCAAGTTTACGACATACGCGGGATCGTCAAAGGTGAGTTTCAGTGACACTGGGGGTTAGCAGCGATGTGGCGAAAAACAAAATGGTCCAGTGAAGAGGTTCAGGAGGCTTTGCCCCTTATTGAATCCTATACGGTCCACACGCAGGATCATACAGGGGAAGGGTGGTCTTTTAAAATCACAACATAGAATTGGTGGGCCCACGGTGGCAGTAGCAGCCTTCAGAGCCTCAACTAGCCCAGTCTCATAAGAGCTGGGAAGCGAAACAGTGTCGGCCACGGTTAATACTTGGATGGGAGACGGCCAAGGAAGACTGGGGTTGGTATGTGGGGGAAGGTAATGGCAAACCACCTCCGCTTATCTCTTGCCCTGAAAACCCCATGGTTATGGGCAGGGGTCATTTCCTGCAGGAGCACACAGGAGCGGAGCTCCGGCAGTAAAGAGCCCAGGGGGCGGGCACATGCCACAAGCCCCACCCCCTGCTCCCAGCAGCCCTCTGTCAGAGCAAGAAGCAGCCAGGTAAGCTGCAGAGCTCCCCCCCCCGCCCCCCAGTCCAACACAGTCCAGTGGCACCTTAAAGACCACGTTTTATTCAGGTACAAGCTCTCCCTCCTCTGCGAGGACAGATCTGCACGTTCCCCCCCCAATAGCTAGCAATCCAAAACAGTCCAGTGGAGCCTGAGCGGTGGGTGTTGCCTTCTGACACACTTCCGGTGATGTCAGAGGTGTGTGGCATATGCAGATAAGTTATGCTAATGAGTTGTGCTAATGAGCTCCCGCACCTCTTTTTCTACGAAATGACCCCTGGTTACGGGGTCACCTTGAGTCGGTTGTGACTTGATGGCACATTGTTATTATTATATGGTGGCAGTAGCTTAACATGTATCGTTGCTAGGTGAAGTTAATGATATGGTGGCTCCATACGGGTGGAATGAGCTTCCAGATGACATCAGGGCCCTGGGGACCTCTCACAGTCCCTCAGGGCCTGCAAGACGGAGCTCTTCCACCAGGCTTTCAATTAGGAGCCGCACATAACAACAGCAGCGTGTCAGTCCCTCCCCCTGGATGTTCCATTGGCAGCCTGTGCCCGCCAGCAAAACCAGAAAAGATAGGCTGAATTCCAGCTGTGGCCATTCCCTTTTGTTTTAACCACCGTGTCCTGCTGTGACCGCTACACAATTCTATGGTGTTATCGTTACCATCTATTCTAGCTCTAGCACCTTGCACTGTATGTCTAACTGCATGATAAATTAAGATGTTATATGTGTTGCTCTGTGTATTTTATACTTTTATGTATTTTATGTAAGCCGCCCTGAGACTGTCTCGGCGGGGAGGGCAGGATATAAATTGGATAAATAAACAAACAAACAAACCTGGGAATGGGGACCAATGCTCCCTCTAAGCTGTGGAGTCTTGTGAGCAAAAATTCTACTTGGTGAGCTTCTGGCATTAAAGTTGTGAGCGAGCAATTTGGCTACTGCATAAATCAGTTTGCTCTGGAGCCGTCCTTCCTGAGCTAAGACAAAAATGTGTGAGCCGGAGGCTAAAAAACTGTGAGCTAGCTCACACTAACTCACCTTAGAGGGAACTCTGATTGGGGACTTAATCTAGGAAGTCCCTAATCCAGGAGCTGTGGTGTCCTTCTGGAATTCTTTCCCATTATTCTCTTAAGCAGTGATTCTGTTTATCGGGGATCATTAAACTTTTTTAAGACGGCGAGCAACTTTGGAATTCTGACACAGCATGGTGGGTACAGCCACAAAATGGCTGCCACGGGAGGCGGAGCCAGCCACAAAACAGCTGCCTCTGCTTGCCTTCAGTCACACAGTGAAGGTCCTTGTGCTGTGGTGGCAGCTGCTACCAGGGCAATGTTTTTAAAAGCCTGCACAAGCAATCAACTCTCCAGTAGCCTATCAGAAGCCTTGCTTGGCCAAAGGCCAAGATGGCCCCGCCCACTTAACAAAAACACTTGGTGGATACCAGGAAAGGTGTCAGCAGGTGCCGTGGTGGCCACAGGATGCCTGGGGGCACTGTGGTACTTGCTGAGGGGCTTACTGGTGCCCATTTGCTTTGTCCCCAAAGCAAAGTCCCAATCGCGGCTTTTCCTCCGCTTCATGGGTCAAGAGAATCTAGAAACAGCTGACTTCATAGTAGAAGGATGTCTGGCTTGCCGTTTCCCAACATTTTGTGGTTGGCCCCAAGTGCCCTACGGCAGCCATTTTCTGATTGGCCCTGGCCGACCATGGGCAGTCGTTTTTGGGTGGCTTTCAAAATGAAGGCCTAATATGTCTTTCACAAAGAAGTAAACATAGCCGTGAGTCAGGCCGTTTGGCACTACTGCTCCATTAAACATCTAACTTCCCCTTTTGTAATTAATAAAAGTAAAATTTCAGTTTTCAAAGCAGTAGAACAAAGTTTAAGTTCACTGGCACCCTTAAGACCAAGAGCTTTTAATTTGGGGTATAAGCTTTCATGCGCATGCACAATGAAGAAGTGTGCATGCACATGAAAGCTTCTACCCAAACTTCATTGGTCTTAAAGGTGCCACTGGACTTAAACTTTGTTCTGTTGCTTCAGACCAACATGGCGACCCACCTGAATCAGTGTTCACAGCAGTCAGCTTTGAGGAGGGCCAGTTTCATTCCTTGGTGAGCCTTGGAGGTAACCTTTCTTCCAAATCATTTTCCTTTTGAAGCGAAGAAAGCAGCTGATTGTTCATCTTTTCAGGATCAAAACTCAGACCGAACGAGTGTTTCATCCCTTGGGGCCCTGGATTCAGAATCCGCATCTCTGACCGATGAAGACATCTGCAACGATTCTGAAAGCGCGTCTTCTCCTCAAGAGAACGTCTCTTCTGTGCTGAAGGGTATTGGCCTAAGTAGAACAAGCCTTGAGAGTTCAGCTTCCCATACCGGCTCATCGAAGCGATTCTCGCAGTGTGGTAAGAGGAGTTTGGTGTAGTGGTTAAATCCGCGGACTCTAATCTGGGAGAACTGGGTTTGATTCCCTACTCCTCCACTAGCAGCTGCTGGATGACCTTTGGCAAGCCATAGTTCTGTCAGGGCTGTCCTTGAAAGGGCAGTTCTCTTAGAGCTCTCTCAGCCCCCCCTACCTCACAGGGCATCTGTTGTGGGGAGGGGAAGGGAGAGGAGTTTGTAAGCTGCTCTGAGACTCTGCGTGAAGTGCGGGGTATAAATCCAATCTCCTCCTCCTCCTCCTCCTCCTCCTCCTCCTCCTCCTCTTCTTCTAATTTGCTTGGCTTATCCTGGTATCCTTACACACCAAGGTCTACTGCACTGGACAAAAGAGTCATGTGTGTAGTCTCTGGTTACGGAGAACAGAACATCCCTCGTTGAGCGGCTCGTCCCATCTCTTTCAAGAGGCAGGGCTTCCACGTGCTTTAATAACAACCTTGATTGATCGGAGGAGTCCTAGTATAGCAATAGCTACGTGAAGGAGTCACACGAGACAGCTCTCTTGAGGGTAGAGAAATCTGTCTGCCTTTCAAGGCAGCAATAGTTTATTTTATACACACTCTGCCCCCCCCCACCACCCACCGTGAGGTGAGGCTGGGGCTTGCACGTAGAGAAACAGGGGAAAACAGATACTTTCGGGGAGGATGCTTAAGGATGCTTACATAGTACAATAATTAACGAGCTACCCTTAGCTTTAAAATGCCCATAGGTACAGGATGTGCAAAGGTCAGGACTCTTAGTAGATCAGGGTAACTGATCAATCCAGATGTTTACAGAGTCTGGAAATGTGGGTTAAAATCAGGATAGGTGTGCCTTATCGCTGACCCTTGCCCACAGCTACGGTTGCCAGCTCCGATGGGAGACTTTGGGGGTGGAGCCTGGGGAGGGCGGGGTTTGGGGATGGGAGGGGCCTCAGCAGGGTACAGTGCCATACAGTCCGCCTTCCAAGGCTGCCATTTTCTCCAGGGGAACCGAGCTCTGTTGCCTGGAGATCAGTTGTATCTCCAGCCACCCCCTGGAGGTTGAAAGGAAACAAACAACCGTGATGTCTTGTGCCAAAAAAAGGTCTTCACAGACTTGAAAATTCTTTTTCCAGTATTCAGTTCACTTGGAGCAATTCAAACGCCATCAACACCCACAAACCGTGCCTATTACATCTCGTTTCGTCTATAACTTTATCAAAGTGGGTGGCGTTGAAACACCTATATAATATTAATCCATCTGGCAATCATTCTAGCCATGTCCCCGGTAACACTCATCAGATCCATTAGTGTGGGTTATTAATCCATTTGATGAGTGTTACTAGGAGACAGTGTTCCCTCTAAGCTGAGTTAGTGTGAGCCAACTCACAGTTCTTTAGCCTCTGGCTCACACATTTATGTCTTGGCTCAGGGAGGAGGGCTCCAGAGCAGACTAATGTATGCAATAGCCAAATCACTCGCTCACAACTTTAAGGCCTTTAGCTCACAAAGTAGAATTCTTGCTCACAAGACTCCGCAGCTCAGAGGGAACATTGCTAGGAGATAGGACTAGAATGGTTGCCAAATGGATTACTATTATATAGGTGTTTCAACACTGCCCACTTTGATAAAGTTATACTCGAAACGAGATGTAATAAGCACGGTTCGTGGGTGCTGATGGCGTTTGAATTGCTTCAATTAAACTGAATATTGGAAAAAGAATTTTCAAGTCCGTGAAGACCTTTTTTTGGCACAGTACATCAAGGCTGTTTGTTTCCTTTCTACCTCCATCCCGTGATCTCTCTCTTTGGTTTGCACCGCCTGGAGGTTGGCAGCCCTAGCAATAGCTGATCCCACTGCTCTCAAAGTGCTCGTCTTTATCCTCTTATAGGCATCAGACTGTGGAACCCCCTCATCCCAATTTGGTTTAGGAAGTTAAGTACCAGGGAGGCGGAGAGGAGAAGAAATGGGTGGGACATCAGATCTGGAAAATTGGCAGGGTCGACTCCGGCAAGTCCTTGGATGGGAAGACCTCCTTGGAATACCAGCAGTCGGGAGGTGGGGGCAGGCTTTGTTCAGCCACCTCTCTGAGTATCCTCCAGGCCCCCAATAGGGGGTCAGTCACCAGAGGTCAGCATGACTTCCGGGCGCGCACACCCACGCGCGCACACATTTGCCGCTAGACAAATCAAGAGGAGAGGGGGGCATTCCACTGTGATCCGTCAGCTGTTCAGCCCCTCCTTCAGGGAACAGATCCATTCTGGGTCAAAACAAGAAGATCCCAGGTGATCCTTGAGTGCATCTTCTCAGCCCTTTGAAAATGCTGGAAGACGACATGCAGGGAGCCAGTGTTCCCTCTAAGCTGAATTAGTGTGAGCTAGCTCACAGTTTTTTAGCATCCAGCTCACAGGTTTTTGTCTCAGCTCAGGAAGGAGGGCTCCAGAGCAAACTAATTGATGCGGCGGCTAAACCGCTCACTCACAACTTTAACGCCAGCGGCTCACAAAGTGGGATTTTTGCTCACAGGACTCACAGGACTCCACAGCTTAGAGTTAGAGGGACACAATTCACATCAGGGCCACCCAAGAGGAAAGAGGAGGAACTCTTCCCCCTCCCCCACCCTACTCCCCATGTGGCCTGTCCATGGAAAGCCAGCCCTCTTCCCCTCTGCTGCTGTTACACTTCAAAAGATAGTCTGCCAGTCTTTGAGGGCCAATAATTGCATGGGTCAGTTTTGATCGGGGTTTGAAAACGACTGTCAGCATTTATTTGGGGCTCTACGTTCTGATGATGTAAAGGAGGACATCCTGATTCACCTTGGGCTGGGTCTGCACTGGGAACTGGTCGGATTCCCTCTGCAGGCAGAGTAATTAGAACCTGGGGTTGACTTTCTGTCCTGTGGGTCTTTGCTTTTCTCTTCCTGACCTTTATTAATACTAATAACATACCAGAGCTGTTGTTCAGGAAGGGTGAGTTGAGTTTTGTTCCTCTGCTTTTGAGGCTAAGGCGGCAGATCCTCCCCGTGGGGGTTCCATAATCCCTTGGGAGTCCTGCCGTCGTGAAGGGACTGTGGCTCAGTGGCGGAGCACCGCTCGGCATGCGGAAGGTCCCAGGTTCAATCCCCGGCATCTCCAGGTAAAGGACCAGGCAGCAGGCGATGTGAAAGGCCTCTGCCTGAAACTGTAGAGAGCGGCTGCCAGTCTGAGTAGGCCGTACTGAGCTTGAGAGACCAAAGGCCTGACTCAGTAGAAGGGAGCTTCATTTAGGGAGGGTCCTTGGCTCAGTGGTGGAGCCTCTGCTCGGCATGCGGAAGGTCCCAGGTTCAATCCCCAGCATCTCCAGTTGAAGGACCAGGCAGCAGATGATGGGAAAGGCCTCTGCCTGAGACCCTGGAGAGCTGCAAAGAGGGGCCGTGGCTCAGCAGCAGAGCATCTGCTTGGCATGCAGAAGATCATGGGTTCGATCCCTGGCACCTCCAATTAAAAGAGCCAGGTAGGAGGTGATGTGAAAGACCTCCACCTGAGAACCTGGAGAGCTGCAAAGAGGGGCTGTGGCTCAGTGGTAGAGCATCTATTTGGCATGCGGAAGGTCCCAGGTTCAATCCCCAGCATCTCCAGTTGAAGGACCAGGCAGTAGGTGATGGGAAAGGCCTCTGCCTGAAACTGTAGCAAGGCGCTGCCAGTCTGAGTGGATAGAACTGATCCTGCTGGACCAAAGGTCTGATTCAGTATAAGGCAGCTTCAAGTGGATCCCACCCAAGGATATACTCTGTCAGAAGCCAGGAAGAATCCTCGTTTGCGAGCCTTGCCTTTGCTTCCCCAACATCACGTGTCCTGTCTTCCAGGCTCTCTCTCAAAGTTCCCTTTGCCAGACAGATCGGACCTGTTGTCATCCTGCAGTACAAGCAGTGCAAGCATGTTCCAGAACTATGCAATGGAGGTAAGGATTCCCTCTTTTTCAAAATGGGGGGAGGGGGGCAGAACAAAAAAGGTGGCTTTCTTGAAATTTCCTAGGGGTCACTTTAGGACACTGTCATACATCTGAGAGCAAGCTCTTGGCTAATAATCTAAAATCCTCATATTAATGGAAGAACCCTTGCTAATTGTTCCTAAGGAGCCGATCATTACCGTTCCAATGAACAATCATCGGTTCCTGCTGGCAGGCCATTAGAAGGGGGGGAGCGGGCAAATCTATCATAAATGCATTTGTCGGCTCTATAAACAGATTACATCAGCTGCTAATTTGTTGATCTCCACCATGCAGCAGAACCCGCACAGCTGCTTTTCCTTCCACCAAGGCAGCTAATTAATTTTTAGGGGCAGGGCTGTGTCCTTGACAGCACCTGCTGAACGCTGGAAGATATGTGTATGAATACCTTAAAGCGCAGAGCGGTCAGGATCAGAGAACGAAGCGCGAGGGTTTAAAGCCAGGCCACTTTGGGGGAAGGAACGGAAGAGGGCACACTAAACAGGGCGCTGCTTGCTGATCTGTGTATACCTTGGATCTAACTGCGTTGTAGTTCGGTAGTTTTGGTGTAGTGGTTAAGAGTGGCGGACTCTGATCTGGGAGAAGTGGGTTTGATTCCCCACTCCTCCTCCTCATGAAGCCAGCTGGGTGACCTTGGATCAGTCACAAGTTCTCTCAGAGCTGTTCTATCAAGAGGAGCTCTCTCAGCCCCACCTACCTCACAGGGTGTCTGTTATGGTGGGAGGAAGGGAAGGCAATTGTAAGCTGCTCTGAGACTCCTTAGGGTAGCGAAAAGTGGGGTATAAAACCAACTCTTCTTCTTCTTCATTGCAGCTTAATCACTGGGAGCCGCTGTGGCTCTCTATGTGTCTGTCTCCTTGCATGGATTCCCAGTGCAAACAGGCATCTGGTTTTGATTGTCACATTCCTTGCGCTCTGTTGCAGGGATGCAGTGTTCCCTCTAAGCTGAGTTAGTGTGAGCTAGATCACAGTTTTTTTTAGCCTCCAGCTCCCAGGTTTTTGCTCAGGGTGGGTGGCTCCAGAGCAGTGTTCCCTCTAAGCTGAGTGAGTGTGAGCTAGCTCACAGTTTTTTAGCCTCCAGCTCACCCATTTTTGTCTTAGCTCAGGAAAGACAGCTCCAGAGCAAACTAATTGATGCAGGAGCCAAATAGCTCGCTCACAACTATAAAGCCAGTAGCGCACAAAGTAGAATTTTTGCTCACAAGACTCCACAGCTTAGAGGGAGCATTGCTCCAGAGCAAGCTGATTTATGCCATAGCCAAACTGCTCGCTCACCACTTTGATGCCAGTCGCTCACAATGTAGACGTTTTGCTCACAAGACTCCACAGCTTAGAGGGAGCATTGGTTAGGAGGCGCTTGATGACGTACTGTCTGCCTGGCTGTCCAGCTGAAACCCTGGTTGAAGTGGTGGAGGGGGGGGGTCCTCAGTTTTTTTTGGGGGGGGAGCAGACTCCCAGGATGGTAGCTCCGTGTTGATTCCAGTAGCCGTGCTGAGTCTCCCTTGCCTGGCTGTGCTCAGGACTTTACGGCCCCCGTGGTAATTATGAAACTGTCCCAGGCCGCGTCGGTCTCAATCCAGAAGAGAGGTAGATTCCGGTGGGCAGAGGGCTCTTTTTGTAGCAGGGACTCCTTTGCATATTAGGCCACACACCCCTAATGTAGCCAATCCTCCAAGAGCTTACAGAGCTCTTCTTACAGGGGCTACTGTAAGCTCTTGGAGGATTGGCTACATTAGGGGTGTGTCGCTTAATATGCAAATGAGTACCTGCTACAAAAAAGAGCCCTGGTCTGAAGCAACAGGACAACGCTTCGTGCTACACAAGACAGGACGTCTGCTGGGTTTACCTTTCTGCACTGAGCCGTTCTCTGACAGTCTTGAACTGAAGCCCCTTGTTTTATTTTCTTATTTATTTCCTTCATTTGTATCCCAGCTTTCTCCCCAGTTGGGAGCCGGAGCCACTTCCATCCTTCTTCTCACCTCCATTTTATCCTCACAACAACCCTGTGAGGTAGGTTAGAGGAGACTATGTGACTGGCCCACGACCACCCAGCAGGCTTCCATGGCAGAGGCGTTTTGAACCTGGGTCTCCCAGATCCGAGTCCGACACTCTAACCCATACACCACACTGGCCTGTTGAAGCCACGGCTGGGTCCTGCACTTCCCTTCACCTGATGTAGATGACACATGCTTCCCAAGTACTTAACATGATTCGGCGGGGGACGAAGACGTCTTCCCAGGATCATTCCTGCGGGGACAACAGACGTGCCGCACCATGCCGTCGCCAGGAAGTGATGCCGGGCGACACTCTGGCAATGGGGCCAGAAACTCGATGGTACCATCGAGTTTTCAGCCTTATTGCCAGAGCGTCGCCCAGTGTCATTTCCTGGCGACGGCATGGTGCGTTACAAGGAGAAATGTTCCGGCCGGGGAGCATGTGTCCCCCACCGGATTGCGGTAAGTACTTGGGAAGCCTGAGATGACAGGTTAAGGTGGTCCTGCCTCACCGACTAATGCATCTCTTTGGTTTCCAGAATCATCTCGTGGAGTTTGTGATTCACAGCAGTGACTCTGTAGAGCTCAGGCACTCGATGGGGTTTTCGCCTGAAGTCCTTTCCCTCCCTGTAGAACAGCAGTCCCCAGAGCAGTGCATGGAGGAGGTGCTGTAGAGCTCACCAAAGTGTTCCCTAGACCCCGTTTGCTTTTTGAGCCTTGGGAGTGAAGGGGCTGCCAGGGGACAGGGAAACCGCGTTGAAATCTGCCACGTGGAAGCCCCATTGCGGCTGCGATTTATCAGCAGCTGCAGAAACAGCAGGGAAACGAAACCACACAAGCTTGGCTCCATGCGGAAAACATCTTTGATTGAAGATAGATTCAGGTGGATAGCCATGTTGGTCTGAAGCAATAGGACAAAGTTTGAGTCCAGTGGCACCCTCAAGACCAACAAATTTTAATTCTGGTATGAAAGCTTAAAGGTGCCACTGCACTCAAACTTTGTATCTTTGATTGAAGTAATGGGGGGGGGAGACTATTTAGACTGGGGATAATGGTTGTAGGCATTCGGTCAAACTGTTTGCTGCTGTGTTGCACAAGACTAATTTTTGTCCTTGCCGATGAAGGCAGAATTATCGCAGAGGGTGTTATAAATCAAGCCCTTTCCCACAGGTCCTCATCTCGAGCTGTTCACGTTGTCGAACCTGCGACTGCCTGGTCCACGATGAAGAGATCATGGCGGGCTGGTCGGCGGACGATTCCAACCTGAACACCACCTGCCCTTTCTGCGGAAACCTGTTCTTGCCTTTTCTGAACGTTGAAATCAGGGACCTCCGTGGCCCCGGAAGGTAATTGGCTGTTTGTCCACTGGATTCTTGCTTTGAAGTATTTCCCAGTACTAGTTGTTGGGGGTGGGGGAGAGAAATCTTCTAATCACATGGATGTTTACACGTGTCATAGATATTTTCTGAAGTCCAGTCCATCTTCGGAGAACATGCAACTTCCGCCGCTGCTTTCAACCCAGACTGCAAAATCCTCCCCCTCTGATCCTTCAATATCTGCTCAGGATGGCTTGCATTCAAACAGGTAAACACAACACGTTTTGTCATGTGATTACTTTTTTCTGGATTTGCTTGAAACAAAGGTCACTTGTCTAATCTTACTGTACATTCCAGCCTGAAGCCAAGTCTGGAAACAGGATGCTGAATTATCTATCTATCTATCTATCTATCTATCTATCTATCTATCTATCTATCTATCTATCCATCCATCCATCCATCCATCCATCCATCCATCTGATTTCTACATTAAAACAATAAAAACAGTTAATATCATAAAAACAAACTCCAAAGGTGCTACATATATGCGACGGCAAAGGCTGTCCTAATCGGCCGCATTGGAGTCTGCAGTGGTTGTACGGCTGATGTCTGGCTCCTAGACGCCTTGTTCCTCCGCATGGGCGCGGACATTGGAGCAGGCAGCCAGGATGGATTACAGGGCCTAGCTTACCTGACTGACATTGAATAATTTAATATGGCATCTTACTCAAAACGCTTGGCGGAAGAGCTCTGTCTTGCAGGCCCTGCGGAATAGGGATAAGGAGCTCCGTCTTGCAGGCCCTGCGGACTAGGGATAAGCACAGGGCCCTGATGTCCTGCAGGAGCTCATTCCACCAAAACGGACCACAGCCGAGGAGGCTCTAGCCCTGGTTGTGGCCAGTCTAACATCTTTAAGGCCGGGGAGGGGGAGGAGATTTTGAGATCCTGAATGCAGTACTCTCTGGGGAACGTATGGGGAAAGGCGGTCCCTCAGGTATGCACGCCCCTGGCCGTATATGTTATGAATTGTATGGGCTGTTGCCTGATGCAGCATGGCAGTATTTCTGCAGAAAGAGCGACAGCAAAAATGTAAAACAGTCGTGTTTTTTTTAAAAAAAGGAATGAACATCCCATGAATGTAGCTGCCTTATACTGAACCAGACCTTTGGTCTGTCAAGATCAGTGTTGTCTACACAGGCTGACAGCGGCTTTCCAGGGTTTCAGGTGGACATCGTCCACATCGCCAGCTACCTGATCCTTAACTAGAGATGCCGGGGATTGAACCTGGGACCTTCTGCATGGCAAGCAGATGCTCTGCTGCTACTGAACCATACCCCCTCCCCTTGGAGACACATTATAAAACCACAATATCTCTGTTGTTAAATGGTTATTATTAAAGTTTTTTTAAAAAAAAATTATTGGTTTTAACAACTTTACAGTGTGCAACAGAAGCAAAACAGTAATTACAGCACAACAAGACTTAGCCGTAAACCATGTTCTATCTAACTACCGTGTTTCCCCGAAAATAAGACACTGTCTTATATTTATTTTTTCTCAAGAAGACACACTAGGGCATATACCACAAATGCATAGAAATCCTGCTAGGGCTTATTTTTTGGGTAGGTCTTATTTTCGGGGAAACAGGGTAGTAACTATGTAACATAAAGTATTTAAATTTGTCAGTTGGGAGGGGCTATTCCTTTGGGTTAACTCATGGGTGTGCAGTGTTTTCGTCTGTTTATTCTGTTTTTTTCCTCTATGTTTGGTGTAGTTTGTAGAGAGCCAGTTTGGTGTAGTGGTTAAGTGCGCTGACTCTAATCTGGGAGAACCGGGTTTGATTCCCCACTCCTCTACTTGCACCTGGCTGGATGACCTTGGGCAAGCCGTAGTTGTGACAAGAGCTGTCCTTGAAAAAGAGCCGTTTCTATCAAGAGCTCTCTCAGCCCCACCTGCCTCACAGGGTGTCTGTTGTGGGGAGGGGAAGGGGAAGGCGTTTGTAAGCCGTTCTGAGACTCCTTTGGGTAGTGAAGGGCGGGCTATAAATCCAATCTCTTATTCTTCTTCTTCTTCTCATGTGGGTAGCCTATAAGTGTAACCATTTGTGATATATTTGCCTTGCTGGTAATATTTCATTCGTTGCCATGTACTCTAGAACCGGTGCCCATAGCCGAACAAATTTGGAGTATGTTGGAACATTCCTGTCGTTTGCTCTATTTAGTGAATCTGTGACTTTAGCCATTAAGAACTGGTCCCACATCTTTTCTTGCCATGCCAATAAGATTGTTATTGTTAACGTTTTTTTGGTTTTTTTTTAAAGTTTTTATTATTGCATCCAAAGTAAATTAAGCCATGCTTTCACCAATAACAAAGATACAACTTCCTGAGAATGCAACTCAATAACAGTTATAAACTAAATCAGTAGATATTACAAATCGTCACATTTTAACAGAAGGACCTTCTAAAAAGACATAAATGTATTATTTCATGGGGTTAATGGGGTAAAGATTACGAATCTCGTCTCTACTTGGCAAACCTTAGTAATACTGTCTTATAACGTTAGCCATTTGTGATAATGTAAGTTTGCAGGTAAGATATCATGCGAGGTGAGATAAGAGAATATTGGGAACCAAATTGACTCAAATTTGGAGTTGATTGCCTGGGAAACCTGTGTCTTATGCATTTTCTCTGTAATTTTTGCCATCACGAATTGATCCCAAACCTTTTCATGCCAAATTGCTAGTGTTGGCGGCAAAGAAGATTTCCAGCAAGACGCTATTGTTAGGCGAGCTGTGGCGAGGAGCAGTGAGATTATTTCTTTGTTTCTATTATCTAACTCGGAATCCCAGTGTTAACGTTTTGATCAGTATGGTGGTAACCTAAGCTCAGAGTTGGTAAGTCTTTGGGGAAGTGGGTGCCTGGGGGGGGGAGCGTAAGAGGAATGGCTCGGACACAGGAGGAAGAGCCGCAGTGCCCATTTCTGCTTAAATTGTTAGACTACCGTTCGTTTCCTCCCTGCCTAGGACCTTGCATGTTATACGCCTGCCAAATAAACAGACAGAATAAAGTTAGTGTGCTGTTATTTTCAGCAACTCAAAACAGCCTGACACCGCCTGCGCCAGGAGCATTCAGATCCCTTCTGGAAGAAAACAGGGGGCCGCCGCCAGGAGCGAGCACCTCAGTCCCCCCCTGTCGAGAAGCATCGGTGCCTGTGGCCCCCTGGAGGCGGAGGACAAGGAGAGCTGCAGGCACAGCCACATCATTCCCACTGGGAGCCTGCCGACCACACTGCAGGGCACGGCGGTGAGTAGCCGGTTCTTCTGTGTTGGTTACGATCTGGGGTCATTTCGTAGAAAAAGATGTGCAGGAGCTCATTAGCATAATGTATTTGCATATGCCACACCCCCTGACATCAGGCTCCACTGGACTGTTTTGGATTGCTAGCTATTGGGGGGGGGACGCGCAGATTTGTCCTCGCAGAGGAGGGAGAGCTTGTACCTGAATAAAACTTGGTCTTAAAGGTGCCACTGGACTGTTTTGGACCGGGGGGCCTCTGCAGCTTACCTGGCTGCTTCTTGCTCTGACTGAGGGCTGCTGGGAGCAGGGGGCGGGGCTTGTTGCATGTGCCCGCCCCCTGGGCTCTTTACTGCCGGAGCTCCGCTCCTGTAGGAAATGACCCCTGGTTATGATTTTCATAACAACCGTCACTTCTGCTAGGCAAGGACTGCCTTTTTGCAGTGGGTGGAAATAGTCTTGCTCAGAAACTAGCTAAAGGAGGGAATCTCCTGGTGGGTCGCACTTTGGGACACGTCACAATCCCAGAAGGAAACATTACCCCATGCAAACCGCTGGTCATTCCAGGAGGCAATACAGAAGAAAGACCTCAGTCTCTATGCCGGGGGTGTCAAACATACGACCTGCAGGCCGGAACCAGCCTGTCTAGGACTCTTACCTGGCCCATGTGCAACTGATTACCTTTATTACTAGATGACAGAGGCTATATGCATTTCGTCCCTGTATACTGTTTACAAGATCACGCATGGGATAGAGCAGGTGGAGAAAGAAGTACTTTTCTCCCTTTCTCACAATAACAAGAACTCCTTGTGGGCACTCCATGAAATTGCTGAGTGGTCGGGTTAGAACAGATAAAAGGAAGTCCTTCTTCACCCAAAGAGGGATGAACACATGGAATTCACTGCCACGGGAGGTGGTGGCGGCTACAAGCATGGGCGGCTTCAAGAGGGAACTGGATATGGAGCAGAGTTCCATCAGTGGGTATTAGCCACAAGGTATAGACAGGAACTCTCAGTCTGGGGCAAGGGATGCTCTGTATTCTTGGTGCCTGGGGGTGGGGGCAACAGTAGGAGGGCTTCTAATGTCCTGGCCCCACTGCTGGACCTCCTGATGGCACCTGGTATTTCTGGCCACTGTGTGACACAGAGTGTTGGACTGGATGGGCCATTGGCCTGATCCAACATTGACTTCTCTTGTGTTCTTATAGGAACCCTCAGTCTTGGGCAAGTGATGCTCTGTATTCTTGGTGCTTGGGAAGTGGGGCAACAGTGGGAGGGCTTCTAGTGTCCTGGCCCCACTGCTGGACCTCCTGATGGCCCCTGGTATTTCTGTAGCCAAATCCAAACAAAACAGACCTCCCAGTAATCACACAGCCAAGGAAACAAGACAAAACTGGGGCCAATATAGAACCAATAATACACTCTGAACCATGAGTAGTATGCTAGATACAATTGCTTTATACTAGATAGTTACTATAAAGTATACAAAATTTCCCCAAATATTTACAACAATAAGAAAACAATAGAATATCAGTGGCTGCCAACAGCCCCAAAATAACAGTGGAATTCCTAAACAGTTACTGTTGGCAGTCAAAAAAGTAGAAGGCTTAATGAGCTGAAAGCTACTGGAGCTTGACGAAGCAGCCGGCTTACACTTGGTTTCGTCTAGTGACTTCCTCATAAGCAGCTTAACTGTAAGATAAAATCCATAACAATACATAACAATACATTTCAAGCAGAATTGAGCATGGCACTTAACACAGTTGACAAATCCACAATAAGCATTTAACACAGTTGTCAAACCCACAATAAGGATTAAGGTGAAGGTATACTACCTGTTGTTGTATATAAGTTTTCTTAATATGTGTATTTTCTTGGTTTTTAAGATACTCCTCTAGAGTTGCTACCTTTAATATAGGGACTAGCCCTTATTTCCTACAAGATAGAAGTATTAAGGTTTAGTACAGTTATATAGTTAATTGTATGATGTTAAGTTAAGTAAGGCTATTCTACTTAGTACCCACCTTGGACCATATCTCCTATGGGACCTGTCCTTGATAGACTAAGCTTCTTAGCCAAAGGTCTCTCTGTTCAACTGTTACATGTTTACCATATATATCCTAAGTGACACCACCTGCAAGTTCCTATTAAAGAGCCCAGCAATATGGGCTTAAAGTCTGTATGTTTTACTATTTCATGTATATCATATGTATCTTAAATGATGTATAACAGAGATATCATTTATAAAAAACATGTATAGTCTATAGCTAGGTTTAATCCCTTAGGATATTGTGTTTGTAGTTTATGTATCCAGAAAGCCTCACATCTTTCTAAGGCTTTTATAACATCCACCTTACTGTATTTATAGGTGTTGAAGGTTTCAAGCACTAGAAATTTAAGATCATTACAGCTGTGTCCCTGATCGACAAAATTTGGGGCTGTTGGCAGCCACTGATATTCTATTGTTTTCTTATTGTTGTAAATATTTGGGGAAATTTTGTATACTTTATAGTAACTATCTAGTATAAAGCAATTGTATCTAGCATACTACTCATGGTTCAGAGTGTATTATTGGTTCTATATTGGCCCCAGTTTTGTCTTGTTTCCTTGGCTCCCTGGTATTTCTGGCCACTGTGTGACTCAGAGTGTTGGACAGGATGGGCCGTTGGCTTGACTCAACATTGGCCTGATCCAACATGTTCTTATGCTCTTAATCTTTAAGGCCCCTTGGATCCGTCCCCACAAAGACTGCAGACAGTCCCCCTGTGACTCCACAGGAAGGATGAATAAGCAGTCGCTTACTCTCCCAAGGACAGCTCTTCTTAGCCGAATACCCTCGGTCTCCCCAGCATGGAGAGTTGCCGGCTCTGGGTTAGGGGAATTCCTGAAGATTTGGGGGTGGAACTTGGGGACCGTGGAGTTTGGGGAAAGTGGGGGCCTCAGTGCGGCACAATGCCATAGAGTCCACCCTCCAAAGTAGCCATTTCCTCCAGGGGGAACTGATCTCTGTAGTCTGGAGATCAGTTCTAATTCCGGGAGATCTTAGATAAGATCTAAGATAAGCATACGGAGCAGAGGTCCATCAGTGGCTATTAGCCGCAAGGTATGGATACGGACTCTCAGGCTGGGGCAGGTGATGCTCTGTCTTCTTGGTGCTTGGGAAGAGGGGGGGGGTCAACAGTGGGAGGGCTTCTAGTGTCCTGGCCCCACTGCTGGACCTCCTGATGGCCCCTGGTGTTTCTGGCCCCTGTGTGACACAGAGTGGTGGACTGGATGGGCCACTGGCCTGATCCAACACTGGCTTCTCTGATGTTCTTACGTCCTAGTGCTAATGAGTAATGGGCAGTGGATGCAGGAGGGTGGCAACAAGGAGATACTGTAGGAAATACTGTAGGAATGTCAATGTTTTAAGCATGTTCGTATTTTGAGTAAAAACTAATATTGTCTCCTTTATAAACTTCATATCTCCAGTATCTGGCATTACCTTTAATTGCCACATATGGCCTAGCTCGACAAAGTGACATTTACATCAGATCCGCCCCTTGTAATAAATGAGTTTGACACTTCTGCTCCCTGCCCTGTTGTTGGCCCTTTGGTTGAACTGGTTGGCCGTGGTGTGGGACAGGCCACTGGAATAGATGAACCGTTGGTCTGATCCAGCAGGGCTCTTCTGGTGTTCTTAAGTGTTTATTTTTAATTTTTTCCTCCCTGTTTGAGCCACAGGACCCTTTGGGGCTGGAGTGGCGCTTCCCTAGCCCGGAGCCCATCACGGTTCCTTACCTGAGCCCTCTCGTCGTATGGAAGGAGCTTGAAAGTTTGTTCGAGAACGAAGGGGATCATGTGATCACAATGGCGGACTTTGTCGACCACCATCCCATCATCTTCTGGAATCTCGTGTGGTATTTCAGACGCCTGGACTTACCCAGCAATCTGCCGGGATTGATCCTGCCCTCCGAGCATTGTAATAAAAATTCAAAGGTGTGGAAAAACTGAGTTTCCGGACTGGGTACGGCGCCCGTTGGGGCTCGCGTCGGCTGCTCGCATTTCCTAGGTGCACATTTGCAGACCTGTCTTTTGTGTCTTCCTGCTCAGATTCCCCGAAATTGTATCTCAGAGGACAGCAAATATGTTCTCATTCAGGTGTTGTGGGACAACATGAAGCTGCACAGAGATCCAGGCCACCCTCTTTATATTCTGTGGAATGCTCAGAGTAAGTTGTTTGCATCACACATCTGGAAATAGCCTGCTTTTTAGAAATAATTCTTCTCCTCCCCACCACCCTGCCCCCCTCAGTTTCCACATCTCAAAGTGGGAGTATTGATCACACCACTCTCTTTGTCTTGCAGGTCAAAACCACACTCTTGTGTTTGAGAGTGAGTGTTAACGCTCAATCTTGCTAAGGCTAATTTTTTTTTAACCATTTTTTGTGTTGTCAGTCCTCTTTTTGTGTGTGTGTGTGTCTTATACTGTAGTTTCTTAGCTTGCAACATACCTGGGCAAAAATTTATTTTCTATCCTGTCTGCGTAATTTGTAAACGTTTGTCTTATTTTATTTTTCCAAGATAAATCATCGCAGTCATGCTGGTGATTGCAGAGTTTGTGCGGGGGCTCATGGAAGGCATCTCAGTGAAACCGAGACCTATTTCAGCCTTGGCTACTAATAACCCTTTGGTTTCTCCTAATATGCTAGTGGCCAGAGCTCTCCTTGTGTGGCTGGAAGCGCTTTCTTTTTTGTAACCCTTTATTCCAATTCTGTCCTTTCCTGACATCTACTCAATTTGATTTAGAACCAGTTTGAAAGGTATCCTTATTTGTACCCTTTAGCTGTTATAATTTTTTTCCTCTGGGGCTTTTGTTGTGGTGGTTTTGTTGCAACCTTAAATATTTTTCTTTATGTTTTTCCCATTTCCGCAGCTCAGAATTACCCCATGGTTCGCTTGCTGCAGAACGAGGACAGTTCGTTTAGCCACGAGCTTTTAAGGAGCATGGTGAAGAGCATTAAGATGAATGACGTCTATGGCCCAATGAGTCAGATCCTAGACAGACTGAACAAATGCCCGCAGATTAAAAGGCAAAGGTAGGGATGTGTTTGTGTGTTACATGCTGCTAGTTTGCTATAGTGGTTAGGAGCGGCAGACTCTAATCTGGGAGAACCGGGTTTGATTCCCCAGTCCTCCACATGCAGCTGCTGGTGTGACCTTGGATCAGTTACAAGCACTCTCAGAGCTGTTCTCTCAAGAGCAGTCCTCGAAAGAGCTCTCTCAGCCCCACGTACCTCACGGGGTGTCGGTTGCGGGGAGGGGAAGGGAGTTTGTAAGCCGCTCTGAGACTCCTTCAGGTTGTGAAGGGCAGGGTATAAATCCAATCTCCTCCTCCTGTTCTTCTTCTCCTTTCTCCTTCTCCTTCTCCTGACTTATAGCAACCCTATGAATCAATTACCTCCGAAATGTCCCCTCGTCAACAGCTTTGCTCAGGTCTTGCAAAGGGAGGGCCTTTGTGGTTTCCTCGATTGAGTCCGCCCATCTCATGTCTGGTCTCCCTCCTTCCCTGCTGCCTTCAGTGTTTCCTAGCATGATTGTCTTTTCCCGCGAGTCTCCTCGTAATACAATAGCCTTAGTTCAGTCATTTTAGCTTCTGTGGAGAATTCAGGCTTCATTTAATCTAGAACCCGATGCAGTCAAAAAGAGTAGGCAAAACCCATGTTGTTATGGCGAGAAAGGCATTCAGTCCACCGTACAGAGCAGCAGCCCTCAGTTTTGCCCAGGAAAGCTGCTGCAGTTTCATGGGGTGTGTGTGTGTGTGCTGATGGGTTGAATTTATAGCATGCATTCAGCACCCCACCTAACTCATTATTTGTTCCATCAGATTCTTACCTCTATTCTGCCTTAGAATTAAGAATCCCCCCCCCCCAGTTTTAGGTGGGTTGCCGTTTTAGTCTGCCGTAGAAGAGTCAGCTGCAGTGGCTCAAGTGGTTAAGATGCTGAACTGCAGGTTGTGGAAGGTCAGTAGTTCAGCAGTTCGAGACCCGAGTGCCGCGTGACGGAGTGAGCTCCCATCTCTAGTTCCAGCTCCTGCCAACCTAGCAGTTCGAAAGCAAGAAATTGCAGGTAGATAAATAGGTACCACTTTGGTGGGAAGGGAACAGCGTTCCGTGCGCCTTGGTGTCTAGTCATGCCGGCCACATGACCACGGAAATGTCTTCGGACAGCACTGGCTCTTCGGCTTTGAAACGGAGATGAGCACCGCAACCCTAGAGTCGGATTCGACTGTCTTTCGAGCAAGGGAACCTTTACCTTTTTAGAAGAGTCAGAGTTCAGTAGCACCTTAAAGACCCGCAAGATTTCCAGGGTAGAAGCTTTCAAGAGTCGGAGCCGTCTGACGAAGGGAGCGTTGACTCTCCAGAGTTCCTACCCTGGAAATCTGGATGGTCTTTTAAAGTGCCTCCGGACTCGAATCCAGCTCTTCTGCCCCCCAGTGGTTATTTATTTTTATGCCATCCATCTATGTAGCGCTTTTATCCAGTAGTGTAAGCGGGGGGGGGCAAGGGGTGGTATTCACTGGTACGCAGTACCGCCTTCTTTTAGGAGGGGCTCTCCCAAGTCCGGAGGAGGGAATGAAGGAAGAAGAGATGGTTTTCATTCCCTGTTTTTCTCTGCCCTACGGCGTCTCAGAGCGGCTTACAATTGCCTTCCCTTCGTCTTCCCACAACAGGCCCCTTGTGAGATCAGTGGGGCTGAGAGAGGCCTGAGAGAACCACAGCTAGCCCAAGGTCACCCGGCAGGCTTCATGTGGAGGAGGAGTGGGGAGTCGAGCCCAGTTCTCCGGAGAAAGATCAAGATGGGTAGCCGTGGGTCCGTCTGCCCGTAGTACTAGAAAAGAGCAGGAGTCCAGTAGCACCCTAGGAGAATTCTGAAGAAGTGAGCGGAAGCTCCTACCCAGCCACATATTTTGTTAGTCTTTAAGGTGCTCCTGGACCCTTGCTCTTTTCTACTGGCTCTCCGGAGTAGAGTCTGCCACTCTTAACCGCTACACCACACTGGCTCTCAGTTGGTGGAAATCACTGCAACCTTATCTGTGAGTCCTGGCAGCTCTTTTTTTCTTTTACAAAAAAAAAAGCACCAATCCTAAGCCGAACAAAAAGAGCCGGTCTCTGTCCCCCAAAGCTACCACCTTTTAAGCATATGTGTATTCATTATCATTTTATCCTGCCCTTGCATGGGACTCTCATGGTCTCCCGCCCTGGGGTCTTGTCAGATCCATGCTCCCTTAACTTCTGAGTGCTGTAGCATTAAGCTCTTCCATATCGTTCACTGAACCCCTGGAGCTTAATTCGACCTCTAACAGCATTGCCAGTGTTCAGCACCTATGATCATCTTGTTTAGGAAAGCAACAATTGTTATTACAAAAGTATTGTGGACAGGGGTCATTTCTGAGAAAAAGAGGTGCAGGAGCTCATTAGCATAACTCATTAGCATAACTTATTTGCATATGCCACACCTCCTGACACAACCAGAAGTGTGTCAGAAGGCAACACCCAAAGCTCAGGCTCCACTGGACTGTTCTGGATTGCTAGCTATGGGGGGGGGACGTGCAAATCTGTCCTCACAGAGGAGGGAGAGCTTGTACCTGAATAAAACTTGGTCTTAAAGGTGCCACTGGACTGTTTTGGGCCGGGGGAGCTCTGCAACCTACCTGGCTGCTTCTTGCTCTGACTGAGGGCTGCTGGGAGCAGGGGGTGGGGCTTGTTGCAGGTGCCCGCCCCCTGGGCTCTTTACTGCCGGAGCTCCGCTGCTGTGCGCTCCTGCAGGAAATGACCCGATTGTGGAAGATCACTACTTTTTGAGTGCATCGGAGAAGAATGTCCAGGTTACCTAAAATGCACTACCTAGAGCTAATGTAGGACCTGGTTTAGAAGAACTAACAAATAACACTTTCTAATTGTATCTTTCTTAGGAGTCTGTATAGAGAAATATTATTTCTCTCTCTTGTGGCTCTTGGAAGGGATAACATTGATATAGGTAAGCCGTCTGTTGTGTTCTCTGTTTATAAAAGTGGTTGCTGCAAACAGCCGGTTCAGAAGTTGTAAAGAACGTTGGTAACGTGTAGCTGATTCTACAACCGTTATTAAGATGAAGGGCAGGCATTTAAGCCAAGTAATGTCTCTTAACTGAAATGAGGCTTGTAAATAGCTACTCACAATGTAGCAAGGAGGAAAGGTAGCTTTAACTTGGCTTCTCTGTTTTTCAAGGGCCACAAATTCCACAGATATATATTGGCACGTTGGATTAGTAAACTCCATAAGAGTCACTTGTATGTTCACTTTACAGCATGGCTTTCTTATAACTCTTATAACTGTAGGGCTTTCTTTTTCCAATTCCTGCAGATGCTTTTGACAGAGAATACAAAACGGCGTATGATCGTCTTACAGCAAATCAGGTCAAAAATACCAACCACTGCGACAGACCTCCGAGTACGGGAGTGGTGGAATGTCGGAAGATTTTTGGGGAGCCATACCTCTGAAAAGAAAGGATTGCTGCAGGGTCCGTGTGTTTGGAAACAAAATACTTCTCAAATGTTCTTCACTTTCTCCATTTAAAAAGGGACCCCCTTTCCCCCCCCACCTCTTGGGGCATCGGGATTTCTGGGTTGCAGGGGGAACAGAATAATAGCAGAGCGACTGATGAATAGCAAGCCAAAGATGGCTCTCTCTCTCCACCTTGATGTCGTCTACAAGCCACTTAGTGGAGAAAACTGAACAGTCCACTGAAGAAAGCCGAGGCAGAAACGGACCAAAACTGTGCACTAGTCTTTGCACGGACGAAATCGGCTTTGCAAAACTGTTTACACTGAGCGGTCAAAGTGTTACCGAGCGCAAACCAGAGTTGTATAATAGCAGATTTTAAATTATTTATAGTGAGTTCGTATTTTTTTAACTTTTAAAAACTGTTATAATGAATTAAGTGATCCTGTTGCAGAAGCAATACTTTTGTCCTCTCTCGGAATATTGCTGTTTATAACAACTGATCTTTTTAGCAGGAAGTCCTTTTTTTTTTTAAGCAGCATAGAAATTTCAGTGCAGTTCTAGATTACCTATTGGGCATCCACCAAAAACCCCCACCGTGAACATAATTTTGGCTGACAGGTCTAGCAAACTTGTATGAAGCTTTAATGGTTGTTTGGCACTTTGAAGGATTCTGTGTGGAAACTGCGGTCGTTCTCTGTCGAGGTCCCACTGCATTCATGGGCAATCCATTGCAAAGGCCAGGATCCAGGCAGACTTCTAAGCATGCCCAAGGGCATTTGTTTGCCCAGGTACGTTTTTGGGCCGCAGGTATTACAGTCTGCTTTGGAAAGCCTCTGCAGTGTCAGTGGAGTGTTGCCCTGGGGGGAGGGTAATGCCGGCTTTTCCCCCAAACACACACACACACCTCCAGTGCCCTTGGACTCTGACAAGCCATTGTATGGTTCTTTGAATCCCAAAGCTAGAGGCTCGGGAGCAGGAGAGGTATAACATTTCTATGTAAAACAGAAAACAGTGTATGAAATTTGTGGGTTCAAAGTTTCAAAACAGAAGATAGCAAAGTCGTTGCTATAGCAGTTACGGTAAAATAGACATATAACCTACCGGTAAGATACACTCTGTGGAAGATGTATTAGAGATTTTTGTTTTGTTTATTTCCAGACAGCACAATGACTTCTTTTTATTATTCCTAGGCAGAGGTTTAGAAATGCCAGGAACTGGTGGATGCAAAAATGTTCTCTGTCCATTTTCCTCCTTCCCCAGTGAGCTCCGGGCGGCGCACTTCTCTCTCCCCTCCCCTCTTCCATTTAATTTGCACATGTGTGTGGTGGTGTCCAGTCTGTGGCCTTCCCTTCTGGCTCTTCCGTCTTCCCGTTCAGATCCAGTCCTCTACCTAACAGCCAGCGCCATCCCTTAGCAGCAGTCGCAACAGAGCCAGTTTGGTGTAGTGGTTCGGAGCGCGGACTATAATCTGGGAGAACCGGGTTTGATTCCCCACTCCTCCTCCACATGCAGCTGCTGGTGTGACCTTGGGTCAGTCACGCGCTCTCTCAGAGCTGTTCTCTCAGGAGCAGTCCTTGAAAGAGCTCTCTCAGCCCCTCCTACCTCACAGGGTGTCTGTTGTGGGGAGGGGAAGAGAAAGGAGATTGTAAACTTATTGTGGAAATCATTTTCTGGCTGCACCCACCGTGCTGCGTCAAGGATTCCAAAAGTGCCCACAGACTCTAAAAGGTTGGGGACCCCTGGTTTAGAATAATGGACAGAAATCTTGTAAAGGTTTTCTTCTCTTTTTGAGGCAGATAATGTGCAATCATAGCTGAAGTATTCTGGGGGGGACGGACCCTAACCAATTTAAATTACCGTAATAAACCGTGATTATAAAATCAGATTTCATTTTGCAGGACAAAGACTATTCCCCAAAATCACAGAGACAAAGTGATTAATTTCCAGATATCACATTCACTTTACAAATGGTTTATTGATTTTCTGATTTAAATTCATTACTGAAAGACAGTTTTGAAATCTTTTCCCTTCGATGTAGAATAGTGATTTGTCCAAATACTTTGAAACAATTCTGCGTTTCCACAGTAATGCACACAATGCCTTTTGTCTGTTTGTGTCATGGTATCAACAGAGGAAAAGACACCTATTTTAAGTTGGAAGAGAATTGTCACAGAGAGTGTTCATAATGCCCTGCAATGTTAGGTTTGTTCTTTGTACACATGAGTCTTTATTAAGTGGATCACTTTTTGTATTTCAGTCAGAAATACTTTACCCCAAAGACAGAAATAGATATTCATCACTTGTAAATCTGTATGTGTGTATATATATATATATATACTATAAAATAGGAGGTACAGTTGTTGAGGTTCTATGAGAGAACTTATTTCTGGAAAATAAATACTCGTTGACAGTTCAGAATGAACACTTCATTTGCAAAAGAGCACTTTCACAACTGAATGATTGTAGATTTGTAAATATGTAATGTTTACATTTTATTTACCAGCAAAAGACATCAGATTAAGTGTTTATTTTGTTTTGTAGGTCAATTCTAAGGTGTATATGTCAATGTTTACACGGCAAAAGGTGTTTTCCCCCCCTGAAATATTCAAAGAGTAAAATGGTTCTATTTAAACTTTTACAATGGATCAATAAAGAAAAGTGAAAAGAATCTTTGTCCTGCACTTCTGTTGAGGACAAGAATTTTGTCCTGCACTTCTGTTGAGGACAAGAACCGTTGATACTTCTCCATCCACCTGCAGGTTTAATAGGACCTCAGTAATCCTAACTGGTTTGGACCCTAATGTTTCCAGACCTGTGACATTTTCCACTACACTGAGGCTGGTGTAGGACTCTGTTGGGGCCGGGGGGCAATTACACTTCCATGCACACCCTTTTCCACTTTCTCTCCCTCCTCCCCCATTCAGACACAACACAGAAACACACAAGTTACTGCCAGAAGGATTACAAGAACCGGGCTAGGGTTGCCAGCCTACAGATGGGGCCTGGAGACCTCCAAGAATTATTTATGATTGATCTCCAGACCAATGCTCCCTCTAAGCTGTGGAGTCCTGTGAGGAAAAAGTCTCCTTTGTGAGCCACTGGCATTAAAGTTGAGAGCGAGTGATTTGGCTATTGCATAAATTATTTTGCTCTGGAGCCCTCCTTCCTGAGCAAAGATAAAAACCTATGAGCTGGAGGCTAAAAAACTGAGCTAGCTCACACTAACTCATCTTAGAGGGAACACTGGCTGCAATGCTCCCTCTAAGCTGTGGAGTCTTGTGAGCAAAACTTTCTACTTTGTGAGCTGCTGGCATTAAAGTTGTATATAATTTTACATATTAGCTTTTAACTTAAGGAACATTTCATTGGGAACATTTGGCTATACAATCTCAGGAGAATATATAGTTGACCAGAGAGAAGTACTACTGGACATGTGATTACACTGGAGGTCTCATTTGTATTTCTGTATTTCTCTTCTTTGTCTAGTGGTTAAACTTTGGAACAATTGTTTTCTGGTCTTTATTTCATATTTTATATATGTATGATTGTATATAATTTTACATATTAGCCAACATGTTCTATTTGCATTAGACCTCTGAGGAAGGCCTGTGGAGGCCGAAACCCGTTAGGTCTATTTCATCAGCCTTTGTATGTTTTTACATTTGTATATGAGGTATGAATGGGCCCTTGTTATTTGAATTTGTGTTTAATATATGTATATTTTTGTATGTTTCATAATTAGATTTTTAGAGTTGGCCCTCTTCTATTCTCGACTAACCTTTTTAGGTTCTGAATCCATTTCATTTATTACAGACAAAGACCAGCAGAATCAGGTATACAAAAATCAAACAACTAGTCCGTGCACAGTGAAAACACTCCCGAAGCTCTGGGGCTGCTCATTTGATTCCCCACTCCTCCACTTGCACATGGCTGGATGACCTTGGGCAAGCCGTAGTTCTGATAAGAGCTGTCTTTGAAAAAAGAGCCGTTCCTGTCAAGAGCTCTCTCGGCCCCACCTGCCTCCCAGGGTGTCTGTTGTGGGGAGGGAGAGGAGATGGTAAGCCACTCTGAGACTCCCTTGGGTAGTTAAGGGCGGGGTATAAATCCAATCTCTTCTTCTTCTCATGCAGCCTAGCCTACCTTGCAGGTGGGTTGTGAACGCCAGCCTGGCAGGGGTGGCCAAACTGTGGCTTGGGAGCCGCATGCGGCTCTTTCACACAGATCAGCTGTAAAAACAGGAGGTCTCCTGGCTCCACCAGGAGGTTGGCAACCACACTCAATCCAGCACCCTCCCTGCCAGGTTGTTCAAGATACACAAAAGACAGGTGATAAAGCCACTCTCTTGGGACCCAGCCGCGGAACCGCCAGTCGGAGCATCGCGCCGGCCTCCGCACCCCCCGCCCGCACCGAGCACCGCCGCGCATGCGTTCAAACGCGCCAGCTTCCGGCTTACTGCGATGACGTCAGAAGAGAGCCACCTTTCAACTCAACTTCCGCTAACGGAGGCCACTCTACCCCTGTCATCTCTATGGTATCTTGCCTCCTTGGCGGCTTTTCGACGGGCAGCGTCATAGAGGAAGAAAGAGGCCAAGGTTTTAGAACACGTCCGGTTCCCAACCGATTGGCTTTTCCACCCTCACTGCAAAGGGTGGGACGTTGGTTGCGGCTTCAATTCCTTACCGGACGTTAAGGTTCACTCGAGCCTTGTTTTCTCTTTCTAAAGAGAGAGGCTCTTCTAGGACGCCGTAGGGGCGTGACCTAGCCCCGGGGGCGGGGCTTAGAAATCAAGCCAAGAGAGCGCTCAGAGGCAGGAGGAGGCTTATTTGCATATGCAAATTGAGGTATTGAAACCCCTCCTATAGCAAGTCTCTAGCTGGGGAGCCTGCATTGGAATATACAGGTAGCTTTTGGTAGCTGCAGAAGACCGCAGGTCTATAGAGCTGGAATACTGTCACCTGCAGAGCCAGGGAAAGTCCAGTAGAGGGCAAACAGGATGCCTTAAAAGCTTGGAGTAATTCTGGGAGATCTCCAGGCAGTACCTGGAAGTTGGCAACTGTAAACATTACATTGATTTCACACTATGCTACTCTTAAACATGAGTAGGATTTATGGAATAGACCTCCAAGTAAAAATATGTAGGACTCAGCTGTACATTTTTGCCACCATTAGAAGAGGAAGAGATTGGATTTATACCTCACCCTTTACTACCCAGTTTGATCGTCATGCGTTAGTCCTGGAATCCCTGCCTTGAGGTTGGAAGAAGAAGAGGAGATTGGATTTATACCCCATGGCCCTTCACTACCCAAAGGTGTCTCTGAGCGGCTCACAAACTCCTTCCCCTC